CGGGTGTTTCTGTACGTGTTAGTGCAACCTCTGTGTTTTTTTATTTGTGTAGCTTTTATTCCTTGTCATGTGTACATTTAGTAGGTTTATGGGGTTTTAGGGTGGGTCAGCCTGCTCGATTTGGTTAATTGTGGCTTCCAGAGTTGTTTCACTTAAATTATGTACTGGCTTTATCAGTACTGTTGGTATGAGCAGCTTGAGGTGTTGTAGATTTGGTGCTTACTTTAGTTTCTGAATTTTGAAATCTGTGTGTTGTGCTAATGGTCTATGTGCTCTCTCATCTTTCGTAGACCTACATGTTCAAGTATGACACCTTGCACGGCCACTGGAAGCACAGTGACATCACCCATAAGGACTCCAAGACCCTTCTCTTCAGTGAGAAGCCGGTCACTGTCTTTGGCATCAGGTACTCCTCTGTCCCCTCTCTGCTTATTTCGTACAGGGATCGAGTTTATGTGTTCAGGCTTTAGCTTTGAGCTTGTGAGCTGATGCTTGAATGGATTCAATTCTACAGGAACCCTGAGGAGATCTCGTGGGGTGAGGCTGGCGCCGAGTCCCGTGGGGTGAGGCAGGGCTTCCAGCTTTAACATCATTCCCAGCAGCACTGGTGCTGCCAATGTATATGATAAAACTCAAGATGTTGTATACAATAAAATCTGTATTGGTTGTTTGCACAAAGTAGTAATCAGTCATTGGTGCTCTGTTTATTGCGATTTGTGCCTGCCCACATCAAATTTTTGTCCTTGTCCTTTCATAGAAAAAATTTGTCTGTTGTGATTTGTGCTAACACATCTTGAACTTTGTTAATTGTAATTTATGCCAACACACACCTCTTATTTGTCCTTGTCCTTTCATAGAAAAAATTGTCTCCTATGATTTGTGCTAACACATTTTAAAATCTGTTAATTGTGATTTATGTCAACACACACCTCCTATTTGTCCTTGTCCTTTCATAGAAAAAATTATCTCCTGTGATTTGTGCTAACACCTTGAACTTTGTTAATTATGATTTGTGTCAACACACACCTCTTATTTGTCCTTGTCCTTTCATAGAAAAAAATTATCTCCTATGATTTGTGCTAACATATCTTGAAATCTGGCAATTGTGATTTATGTCAACACACTCCTCTTATTTGTCCTTGTCTTTTCATAGAAAAAATTTATCTCTTGTGATTTGTGCTAACACATCTTCAAATCTGTTAATTGTGATTCGTGTTAACATAGACCCCACAAACTCAGCTCCTCCTAGCTTCAAATATTCTCTCTAGTGTGTGGGTTAGGCCACTGCTGGCCTGGACCGCTAGCATGTTTTGTACTCTGTTAGTCTGTATGGTTGGGTAGGTAAGTGGAAGGAAACTAGTTGTAATAGCTATCTGGCATTTAAACATGGGTTTTTGTAGTGTATGTATAATACTGTTGTATTTAATTTTTGATCGGGCAGGTTTATATGTTCAGTGCCAGTGCCATGGGTTTGTGTCTGCTTTATTGCACTGCAATGGACTAAAACGTGATAAAATTCAAAGGCCAGCTAACTTTTCCCCTAACGGGCTTAAATGGCTCCGTCCTGGTAATTTTGCCTTTTGTGCATATAGTCTAATATGATGTCCATGTGTACCATAAAATTTGTCTTTGGTGAAACTTTAGTGATGGGTCATGGTGGTTGTTGGAGCTAACAATTGGATTTCTTGTCATCTCATGATTTTTGAATTTGCACATCATTTTGGCTGCGATATGATTATATGATCTAGTGGATATATATGTGTATAAACCAACTATACACATGCTAGTCATCTAGTAGATGCTAGATACTATTTCTTACAGCCTGGACTTCTTTATTTACCTCTCTTTAGCTGCGATGCTGAAATAAAGCATATCTCAAACCTATCTTATCATGTACTTGCTTGATTCCTATAAAGTAAGTTTACGTGTGCATTTTTTCAATTGTTAGGTGGTTGAGATTCCTAGAGGTAGCAAGGTTACGTATGAGTTTGACAAGGCATCTGGTCTGATCAAGGTGAAGTCCTATTTCATGTTCAAAGCACATTGATTTTGTTTTGGTATTTCTTAATTTCAAATCACTTAGTAATTATATGCACCATGTACTCCCTATTGGATAGGGAACAACATTGCTGAAATCTAGTTGATGTGTGTGCCTAAGCTAAGAGGCAATTGTCACTGCTCTATCCTCTCTCAGCTTTTATCTGCATGATCTTATCACATTGTCATATGTTGTGGTTACGCTTGAATCAACTCCAGAAAAAGAATATAGTGTTTTGATCTGTTTCATGGTTAATTTCATGTGCCACCTACTATTACAAATGCCGCCCTATTTACTGTGAAGGTGAGTTAGCACAATACAGAATAGTATTAATACAGAAAATGGCATTAGATTTCCTAGATAACTACACTTATTGTCTGGCTTTTCTATTTGCACACAAATACAGTACAATTGCATTATCAAATAGTAATAGTTGCAGTAATAGAAATGTGCAATTTTCTTGTGTATGGTCTGAATTTTTTCAGCATCATTTAGATGGTTCATTCTTTACTCAGTACAAATGATTATGCCTTCATTGTTATACAGTTCATAATGTCTTCTATCTAAACTTGAGTTTGTATTTAACAAATCATCATGAAATAGTAATCCTACTGTAGTGAATTTGCAGTACCAGGCAATAGTGTCCACACCAAAATTTTCTTCATCTTACAGATCCTACAGATTCATTTGCATAAAAAAACAGCAACAAGGCTACATAAGAGGACAGAACCAAGGAGCTGAAGGCCAGACATGAGCACGATCTGCAGACATGGGCCAACTTTGGTTGCACAGAAATTATAACAGATTTTCTCTACGTAGGCCTTCTTTAAAAATTCATTGTTTTAGAGGCAGGCAACAAACGTGTGCTAGCTTGTTTTAAAACACACAGTTTCTTCTCTGTTGAAAATCATGTGTTATACAGGCAACCAACAACCATGTGCTAGCTTGTGCTAAAACATATAGTTTTTCCTCCGTTACAAATCATGTGTTTTGTAGCCAGCAAACAACCATGTGCTACGTTTTACTGAAACATATGATTGTTGGGTAGACAGACTCTATAGGATTTCGGGTCTGTTTACATTGCAGAATTGCCAAATTGGAATGGCGTCGACATACAGTTCTTCTGGCCCAACATTTATTGGGCCTGCTGGGATTATAACATGCTGGGCCTCCTTTTGTTAAGGCCTGGCTCCTTTGCTGGGCCTAAAGGACATGGCACTAGGCCGACACCGTGACACATGACACATCAGCTGCAGCTGGATCTGTCAATTAGCAGATGATGACTAGCTCAAGAAAAAGAAAAGAGAGAAAGAAAAGCAGATGACTGTTCTTGAGCAGCGCGCGCACCCGCGAAATGGCGATTAGAATATGTCACTCTCTAGCCCCGTACAAATGCTAACGACATGCCTATTGACCGAGCAAGTGGTCTGACTTTATGGGCCAGAATCTCACAGCTCCACTACAATGAAAAAGCCATCTCCAGTCGACAAGACGCTTCGACTTGCTTTGCGGCCATCGCCTGAAACTCTGAATGAGTTTTCACGAGCATAAGACACACATGAGAAACCAAAGTTTTTGCTTGGCTTACATTACATGTGGAGAAAAAACCTAGCTTTACCCGTGACCATCATCTAGAAGCTGCAGGGGAACAGGGTACTTATCACCTTATCAGCTTGAGCCCGGCCCACACAATAATGCATAGGGACTTCCAATTCGAGTCGGCAGATAGGTGGTCCAAGGCCGTCCTCCTCTAGCCTGTCTAGAAGTAGATGTGATCACAGTTACAACGACAAAGCTGGCTTGTCCTGTACTCATGCTAAACTATCTGCTTGTCTCGTCATGCTCCCGAGCTGATTTGGTTTCCGACGATCCATTGAACACCGGACGCGACTCCACCACTCGCGTTGCTGGTGTCCTGTTGATGCAATCGGCATATATATATCCTTCGCTTAATTACACCGTCCTTGACAAAGAATATAATCAGTCAATAGCCTTGCATACCACCATGTGTTTCCAAAGCCTGAATTGTTGTTATCGCTGCTTGTGATCACAGCAAACACAGTACATCTTGTGACAAATAATCCCTCTCGGTTTCACCGAGAGCAGATAGCGCAACGGAAGAATAATAATGTGTGTACGACGAGCATCGCAGGGAGATCGGAGACAGCAACTTGGGAACAGTTCCCGGGATGGACTTTGTGAGACAGTGTGGGACAGTACATTGTCCTGTGATTTGTCTTTTTATAAAAATGTCCAGTGATTCATTCCATGATGCCTACTGGCTACTGGCTGTGGTTCCAGTCGGGTGCAGAGTACAGGTGCAATATCGCAATCGCGAAAACCACGTCGGTACTACGCTGTTCTTTGCCATATTTCAGGTTTTCATTTTTTTTCAGTTGTGCAATACAGCAAGAGAAGAATGACAGTCCTCCTATATTGATCTTCGTCTAAGTTTCTTTTTGGAGCAACTATGCTGCATACACCCATGCCGGAAGAGATCGATGGCAACGAGATGGAGCCATGGGGGCCATGCTATCATTACAGGATCACCTTTGTGTAGAAGAGAATTAATGCATGTTGCTTGCAATTAGGCAAAAGGGGAATCTGCTAGGGCTCCGGGAATGGTATGTAGGGCAACGCAAATGCTTCCATTGATCCCCGCACGCGGCACTTCGAGTCTTCGACATTATTCTCTCTTTGACGACAACGCCCTCTGTCAACGCGTGGAAAAGAACACAGACCGCTTTAGAATTTTACCTGAACAGCTGAACTATCCACGGAAGGATCAAGGAAGCTTATGATTTTACTTTTGACCAGTGGTAGATAAATTCTCGTTATCTGATACAGACACTTTACCAATGCGAGATTTTGCTGTCGCAATCTGGATCACTCTCGTCTGTCCTATCTCCCTTTAAGCGGGGCAAGTTGGTGTGCCATTTGGATTTGGTTGCTGTGCCGCGCAATGGGGCCGCCGGCGCCGGGCCATGTTCTTCTTCAGGTCCAAGTTGCAGGTGTGCGAATAAAGGAAATCTTATGCAGCTTTCTGGATCAGAGCCACTACGATACTTGCTCATACAATGAAACAAAGCCGCTGCCTTTTTGGCTCGTTAGATTCTTCATCAATTCCATGAATTCCGCCAGTGAGCAAGAGCTGAGCCAAATCCGGCACGAGCCTGCAGAAGCTATGCTCTCTCAGGCCGTGTCGCTCTCGTCGCAACCAAGCCTTCCTTCCCTGCCATCGTTAGGTCCCCGCGACCTAAACGTCAGCCCTTGCCACCACCAGTGCGTCGACACCCTCAGAGACCACTCCTCCTACGTCTCGGCTCTCGCCGTCGACGGCCACTCGCTGTACAGGGCCTCGTCGGACGGCCGCATCAGGGTGTGGCCATTGGGCGACGCGAGCGGAAGGCAGGAACAGCAACGGGATGACGACGACGGGTGCAGGGCTACGATGGTCGTTGCCGCGTGCGACAGCTCCGTGAAGTGTCTTCTCGCCACGGGCAGCAACGGTCTCCTCCTCAGCTCCCACCAAGACGGCAAGATCATGGCGTGGCGGACCGGAAGCAGGAAGGACGGGACCCCGAGCCTCGTTCTGCGCGCCGTCCTGCCGACCTGCGTGGAGCTACGTGCAGGTCCGGCGGCACCGGTGGCGCACCTGGGTGCACCACGTGGACGCGGTCACCGCGCTCGCGGTTTCCCCGGACGGCGCGCTCCTGTACTCGGCGTCGTGGGACCGGAGCCTCAAGATGTGGCGGCTTCCGGGGTTCCGGTGCGTGGAGTCCATCGCGCCCGCGCACGACGACGCCATCAACGCGCTGGCGGTGTCGCCCGACGGGCACGTGTACACGGGCTCCGCCGACAAGAAGATCAAGGCGTGGAGGCGCCACCCGGAGCGGAGGAACAAGCACGTGCTCGTGCAGACGATGGAGCGTCACAGGTCGGCGGTGAACGCGCTCGCTCTAGGAGCCGACGGGAAGGTGTTCTACTCCGGCGCGTGCGACCGGTCAGCGGTGGTGTGGGAGCGGGGCGACGGCGGCGCCGGGCGCATGGATGCCACTGGCACGCTCAGAGGGCACGCGAAGGCGATCCTGTGCCTGGCGGCGGCCGGGGACGTGGCGTGCAGCGGCTCCGCGGACAGGACGGTGAGTGTGTGGAGGAGGGGAGCGGAGAATACAGGGTACACTTGCCTGGCCGTCCTGGAAGGCCACGGCGCGCCTGTGAAGAGCCTAACTTTGGTGTACGGACGTGACAGCGGCTTGTTCAGCGGTTGGGGCGACCCAGAGGAGGGATCGTCCGGTGGTGGTGGCGGCGGCGGCGGACATTGTGCTATTGTTTGCAGTGGCGCGTTGGACGGCGAAGTGAAGATTTGGCGCGTATTGTTTCCAGTTCTCTTGTAGACAGTATACTGCTGCATGACAGCATGAGCATGAATCAGATGCTAAATGCCTGCGTGTTTGAACATTGAGATTAGCGTAGGGGATTTGCTACACTTGGTCTTTGGAAAAAACGACATCTATTTTAAAACATTGAGTTGCATACACATACTGGTCCAACAAAAAAAGCTTAAACTAACAGTGAAAGGTGAATAATTCAATTATATACTTAGTTTCAACACAAGATATATAAAGTGAATTGCCCACGTGGCTACGTCTCTCCATCAACTTAAGCTTTTGAGTTCAACTATCGGTGCATGCAATTCAATATCATATCAAAGCTAGAGATCTAGAATTCCAATCCTGGTAGGCACAATTAAATAAAATATTTGTTGACCGCTCATATTCCACGTGTGAGGCCTAAGGGAGCCTCAACGTGAGCAAGAGTGTTGTAGTATAAGTAAATTGCCCACCTCTCTCTAAACAAAGGAGTCTTAGCATATTTTACTAAGAGTAGTAGTAGTAGTAGTACATAATAAATTAGAGACATAACTGATTTATTGTCCCGTATGTGACCCAAAAACTCACGACGAATCAGAGATTAGAGTCATAATTGGTTTTACTGTCCCCTATGTGACCCAAAACCTCACAACCATAGTGAATTAGATATTAGAGCCTTAATTGTTTTATTGTCTGATTCGTGATCCAATTTCATAACACACACTAATACGAGTTAGAATAGCAAGTCTAAATATGGTACATAGTCTGATTCCAAAATGTATTCGAATGACTTACCTATATATTTCATAACTAGTTAAATAAATATTTATTTGGTACCGTATATAAATGTTAATATTTTTCATATAAATTTGGTTAAAGGTGAAATTGTTTGACTTCTCAAAAATAAGAATTGTATTTTTTTGGACGGACAGAGTAAGTCAAATTGCTCTAGTTTTGAACAAGTTTATAAAAAAAATGCACCAATATGAACAGATCAAATTAGTTTCATTAAATCTACCATGAAACACACTCCAGTAATACATTTTTGATATTGTATATGTCTTTTTTGATGAAACAATATTGTATATGTTAATCAATATATTTTTCAATAAGAAGATACTACTATTGCTGGTTACTAATAGGCCTAGCGATAGTGTCGACACCTTACACGAGTGATGCAGCCATGAAAGCTTGATGGCTTATATGTGCAATGCTGCCTCAAGCTTCGATGTCAACTGGTCTAAAGTTCATATTTTACTAGCATTTTAAATATATATACACATACATAAGTTATATGTTTCTAAAGTATAGGATGCAATAGTTATTTATGTTTGTAGTTTTGAAGGTTTGACCAGATTTTGTAAATGTACTCTCTCCATATTCTTTTATGAGGCGCACATCATATGAAGATTCAAATTTAAAATCTTCAATCAATAGTTTAGCTAATATTTTTTAACTATTATAATACAAACTTGCTACGACTAGATTTGTAATCAAATATACTATCAAATTATCATAAGTTTTATAAAATAAACTATATAAAATAAAATAAATAATTGACCAGAGTGTAATTTGGAGACTGTCCCATATCAAGTTGTGCCTTGTCAACGAAAACACGGTAGTATTATTTTTGTGAAACCATACATATCTAATTGTATCACTCTCAAATTCAAACTCAATACATAAAAAACTATTTTGTAGTCGAAGTTTGCAATGAACTTAAAACAACATCAAGATGTCACTTATTGTGACTGAAGGGTGGTGGGATATTTTGCAAGAAGCTTGGTCAGCTAATGGTAAATATCATGGATCTCTGTGTGTGTGTGTGTTTTGAGAAACATATCATGGATCGTGCTTGATGTGCATTTCGGACTCACTCATGCAATCACCAGCCAAAGCCTGGCCCAACTCTTCTACTATAGCAACACGTTCTTTCCTTCCTGGGCCTAATCCGGCTGGCCGGCCTCAAACGGTATTTTTGTCAGGTGGGTACTGTGACGCTATAGAACGGGCTGCTGCTCCTGGAAAAAATACAGATCTGGCTGCAGTCTTGACAACCCCTACCTTGCCAATTGCCATGCTACAGTACAGTGATGCAGATGGTCCAGCTATATCACTACACTGCAATCTTTGCATGCATGTGAGCTCATTATATTTCAGTCTCCATTAAGAGACAAATGGAGATTCACTTAATGGTGACAGTGCGGCCCTAGGAAGAACACTCTTTGCCTATCAGGACATTACAAGCTGGCAGATCATTTTTTTCACATCAAATGTCACTCATACCTGGATGCTTGATGATATTTGCGCGTTTAAATGCAGAGGCATTCTGTTTTGGCAACTTTGCGTTGTGTTCTTCCACAGAGATAGCAGATATGCATTTTCGTCCAGGATATTAAAAAAAACATATCACCCAGGAAGGTTTTACCATCTCAAATACCCACCATGCCAATCCCCATGTGCATGCATATCCAGTGGCCTACAGAATAGCCTGAAATCCTATGGAGTTGGATTCGTCTGTTGCTGCCATTGCCAGCCACCACTGCGCTGTGCAAGCTCATTGGAGCGTTTGTTTTATCCCATTTGCCTGCATGGGACTGGGAGATGCAATCTGCCCAGCTGTGGGTCACACTGATGGTCAATCATTCACGATAGATTGTGATCTGCCGTTCAGCCAATTTTGGTTGTAATCTGACAAATTCTACAGACAAGCAGTGGGCCTTTTCATCCTCTATGCAGCTAAGCATACCTGCTGTGTGTTTATCAGATTTATCTGTGCCGCATTATGCTTGCAAAATATCATCCTCAACTTAGGGCCTGGATACAAGAGCTAATCACTGACTAGCTAAAAATTAATTTAAATTAGCTCTAGTACATTCAAACATAAGGACATAAAGGCTAATAGGTGAGTTAATTTTTTAGACAAGTCTTAATATGCTTCTGAAACACTTGCAACTTTTGTAATATGTGCAACATCCCCGATATACTTTTACAACATTAAGATGAAACAAATTATAGCATACATGTGAAACGTCTGAAACACTAAAAATATACTTATACAACATAGGAGAGGGGAAGGCCGGGGCACCGGCCGAGAAATCGGGCTTTGAACAGCACCATGGCAAGCGCCACGGATCTGCGCCGGGATCCGACAGCCGGAACATGCCCGGTGACTCACGGGAGTGGCAGACGGTACCTCTGAGGAGCTGCACCAAACCTCATGGAGCACGACCTTGTCAAGGTTGTTGACGCCCTTGCAGTGTTTGACGGGCGCCGCCTCCTGCTTCTCCTCGCCCGCCGACGGCTACGACGCCGAGGCCGATAGGTTGTCCTTCCGCCGGACCGAGCCGTAAGGGAGCACCGCACGCCGAGGCCGAGCGGAACGGAGCAGTGGAGGTGGAGGGAGGGAGAGGAAGTGGAGAAAGGCAGGCAGGTAGATGGGCTGGCTCTAGGGGGATTTTCGGACAGCGCTTCTATGCGTGCAAGTTGTTTTTTTTAGAGAGAGCGAATGAGTGAATGAAGATGAGCCTTAGCCCAACTAGTAACTAGCTCTAACTTCATCCAAACTGATCCTTATCTGAGGGTGCATTGTGCATTTCTATTGCATAGCTGGGACACCTGTAGGCTGCTAGGAAAATTGAACGACCACTTTTCCTTCTCTGGCAGTTTAACTGTTAACCGCCCTTTTGTAAGTCATGTTCGTTTGTATTTTGAACATGGTGTCAGTGAAAAGAAGTAGAGCGCGCAGTTCAGATACAGTTGCTTTAGACATTTGAGCATGAGCAGGCATTCAGCCTTTAACCCCTTTCCTTCCACAGAAAAGGACGAGTAAAATTAGTTTTGTTTTGGAAGGGAAGAAAGGCATAGTGAACTAAGTGTAGCTCATTTAGTTAGATTATTTATTATAGTAGAACCTGTCCTTCGATTCGAGTCCTTCACTCAGCACGATAGGGGTGTTCATATTCTTTTTTGATTTATTTCAGGACTAGTGACACTATTCTTTTTCAGTGGTAGATGAAATGTCAATCAAATGCTTAAAATTTTAAGATTTAGAGGGCTTGTAGTCTCAGGTCGTCGATTTCGGTCACCTCTGGCTGTTAGGATTGATGCCTGGCGGTGGCGGGTGACTACTCGCCTCTTGATAAGTGCTCAAAGGGGTAAGATATGCGTACGTGCATCGCAAGAGTGAATGTGTGGCTATGTTCATACATGAGAGACTGTGTTTAAACCTCGTACATGGTGCAATAAATTATTTGAAGCTAATTCCACTAATCCTGACAAAAAGAGTCGATGAATCAGAATCTCCTAGAAGTGTTTTGATTTTAGATTCTTTTCAAGAAACGTTTAGGATGATGAATCAGAATCACCTTATGAAAACATTTGACTTAAACTAGATTTATGATCCATGAGAAAATATAAATTTCTTAAAAATATAAATATAAATATATTTAAAAATTCAATTTTTTTGTGGGCAAGTAGCGACTTAAATACAACCCATTTGAACTTGGTGCACATCTGAAGAAAATATAATTGTTAGTGTAAGGAAAATAGACCCTAGCCTTATTTACTTTGAATTTTGGTGTTTGATGACCAACATTACCAAATTGGATTAATGAATTTGCAAGTGATTATTTTGTAGTTCAAAAGGGTGCAAGACGTGACTTGGACAAAGACGATGTGATGATCCGATGATCAACACCATAAACGAGACCCTAGAAGCACAAGAGAAGACCCAAGATATCAAGCAAAGTCCATGCACGAAGATAGGAACCAAGCCGGATGCAAGATCGCGAAGAAACGAGCTTTACAGCACTGACCGGACGCTGGCGGCATAGTGACTGGACGCTCCGATCAAGAGGCTCTGTAACAGCAGGCGTCAGCAGCAGCGACCGGACGTTGAGGACTGAAAATGACCGGACGCACCGATGGCACTGTTCATCATCCCGACAACACACTTAGTACTGACCGGACACTGGCGGCAAATCGACCGGACGCAGGAACTGTAGCGTCCGATCAAGTATAGA